CCCTGTAAATATACTCGTAAAACTATGCATTGAACATCCCTGAAACTTATATAGCGAATACATTAAGCAATATTCGCCACAAACTGAAGTCCACTCATAGAATCATGTTCTAACGATCCTTCCAAACCTTTCACACACAATATTCAGGAACATGAAATACATAGTTTTGGTTATTATATAAAATGTTCATATGATGATAAATTATCAAAATATTTAACATATTGCGGACCCAACTGTGTACAAGTGTTTATGGAAAGTTTATCAACAATCTAAAAGAAATAAATAGACTTCAAAAATATCCTCCACTTCCGCTAACAAATGAAGACAAAAACCAAATTTCAAATGCAACCATTTGTCATATTTCTGAAACAGAGTTAGCAGAACATTTATATGATTTTGATTGGTACACCGGTAGTTTTATAGGTGTTGCTCATGAATCATGTAGCTCGAAGTTCAGAACACCTCGTTATATACCAATCTTTTTACACAATCTTAGTCACTATGATGCTCATTTTATTGTTCACGCGTTAAACTTTTGTGATGGTGAAGTCGAAGTTATCCCTCAAAATAAAGAAAAATATATATCCTTTTCCAGAAAATTAAAAATGAATAACCACGAAATTATATTGAGATTCATAGATTCATTTAAGTTTTTATCATGTAAATTAGAAGAATTGGTCAAAAATCTCAGTAATGATCAATTTCAAGAATTACGTAGAAATTATCCTAATGATGAAGATTTCTTTCGTTTAAAACGGAAAGACGTTTATACATATGAAATTATGACTAATTATGATAGTTTAAGCCTAACATCGCTCCCCGAACAAAAAAATTTTTATGGCTCGCTCACAGATTCCCATATTTCAAATGATGATTACAATCATGCTAAAGATGTTTGGGAACACTTTGGGTGTTGTAATATGCTAGATTATTCAAACCTGTATTTAAAAACAGATGTTTTACTTTTATCCGATGTATTTGAAAACTTTAGAAAGTTATGTATTAATACTTATGACTTAGACCCTGCCCTTTATTACACAACACCCGGTTTAAGTTGGAATGCAATGTTAAAATATACAAAAATAGAATTAGAACTTTTAACAGATTATGAGAAAATTGCATTTATTAGATCAGGTATCAGGGGTGGTGTATCTCAATGTAGTAATCGTTATGCTAGAGCTAATAACAAATATATGGGGGGATTATGATGCAGGGAAACCAAATTCATGTATCACATATTTTGATGCCAACAATTTATGTGGTTGGGCTATGTATCAATGTCTTCCTACTGGTGGATTCGAATGGGTAAATCCGAATACAGAATTTAATGTGTCTGAGACATCGGACTTCGGTTTTATTTTAGAAGTTGATTTGGAATATCCAGATGAACTTCATGATTTACATTCGGACTTTCCTTTATGTCCCGAAAACATTTGTGCAGGCAATATTAATGAAAATAAACTAGTCCTAAATTTAAATAATATAGATAAATATGTAATTCATTAAAGAAATTTAAAGCAGTGCGTAGAAATGGGGGTTAAATTAACTAAAATTCATAGAGTTTTAAAATTTAAACAGTCTCCCTGGTTGAACTGGATGTACATAGATCTAAACACAAAATTAAGAACGTTAGCAAAATCAGATTTCGAAAAAGATTTTTATAAATTAATGAATAATTCAGTCTTCGGTAAGACTATGGAGAATATTGAAAAAAAGGGTTAACATAAAATTAGTTACACACTGGGAGAACCAGGGCAAAGCTTTAGGTGCTCAAGATCTAATTGCTAAACCACAATTTCATAGTCTTTCATTATTTTCGGAAAATCTAGTTGCGGTTCAGTTGCGAAAAACGAAGTTAATATATAACAAACCAATTTATTTAGGGTTTTGCGTTATAGATATTTCAAAAACATTAATGTATGATTTTCATTATATTTATATGGTTAAAAAGTTTAGTAAAACCAAATTAGTATACAAAATAGATACGGATAGTTTAATATATCATATATTTACAGATGATTTTTACTCTGATATAAAACCTGACCTTTCATCATACTTTGATGCCTCAGCTTATGATACAAATAATATTTTTGAATATCCAAAATTAAATAAAAAGAAATTAGGTTTTTTTAAAGATGAAAATAATGGTAAAATCAAGAAAGAATTTGTGGGTTTACGACCTAAAATGTACGCTTTTAACTTAGAGAATAAGACTATAGCCAAGGCAAAAGGGGTAAATAAATGTATCACTAAAAAGATGACCATGGATAGTTATAGTCTTCTCTATTTAATAAAAAAGTGCAATATTATAGTATGCTTAGATTTAAATCAATTAAACACACAATTTTTACACAAAAATTAAATAAGATTGGTTTATCATATAATGACACAAAGAGGCATATTTTAGATAATAATATTGAAACATTAGCTTGGGGTCATTATAAACTGCGCTAAGTGTTGATAGTTTTTAATTTTATGTCTGCATGTAAATAAAATTTGTATTGATTGTAAAATAATGATAATAGTAATGAGTAGAGTTTATTACATATTTAAGTTTATTGTAAATAATTTAAGTTAATTGTTGTTTATATTTGCGCCTGTGTGTGTGTGTGTGTATTTATTTGAGGTTGAGTTGATTGTAAAATTATGATGTACTAATTGTGTTAGAAATAGTATATACATCATTCTGTTTTATATAATTTTTGCAATATATATTAATTGTTTACACCAACACTTTCATTTTTTATTTCACCACTTAGGACTTTAGACGTGTGTAATGTTTCACTTTATCCATCCGTTTACTGCTATTGTGGCAGGGACCAAGTGGATGTGGGAAGTCAAATTTTGTAACAAATTTCATAAAATCAGTTACAGAAATATGTAATTGTGATTTTAATCACTTGGTGCTTTGATGAAATGCAACCTTTATATAATTTACCAAATGTTAACTACCATCAAGGAATTCCAAATGTTAATATGTTTGATGGTGAAAACCCACATCTTGTTATTATTGATGATCTAATGAGAGAGTCCGATGGAAGAATTGTGGATATATTTACAAAAGGTAGTCATCACAGGAATCTTAGTGTATTTCATTAAACACAAAATTTATTTCATCAGGGTAAAGGGCAAAGAGATCCTTAAACTCAAGTTATATATATTATATAACTTGAGTTTAACGATATGTCTCTTTCTTCTTCTCGTTTAAAAACCCTCGAGATAAAACCCAAATAAGATATTTAGCGCGACAAGTGTCACCAGATAACCCAAAATTCATTGAAGATGCCTACAGGGATGCAACTCTAGAGGCGCATGGATATTTAATGGTAGATTTAGAAAACAGAATTCCAATGATTTTTGTCGTATCAAGACAAATGTCTTCTCATTTAATGGTTTCTGTACAGTCTACGTCCCCACAAAAGAGTTTAAATACACCAAGAATCAAACATTTCAAATCATTGCTAAATGATGCATCGTCGACTCATAACGCATAAACATTTGCTAAACGCTTTGCATACGCTTAAACCAAAATATCAAAGAGCATTACTTAAAACGTGTGATGAAGAAGAAATTAACTGTATTTGTGAGTGTATTCATAACGTTTTACAAGGAAAAGAACCTCTTAAAGATCAAGATAAACAAAAATTGAATAAACACGAAAATATACTCCGTCAACTAGTGCGTAAGTGTAAACATAAACTAAGAAAAAATATAATTATACAAAAAGGAGAGGCTTTCTTACCTATAATATTAGGTGCAATATTGAGTGGATTAGTGAGTGGACTAGCCTAGTTAACTGGCTAGTTAACATGGAAAATGCAAAGAAAATGATACTTATCGAACCTGGATTGATTGAAAAATTAAAACAAGAAAATAAGGTCAATAGTAGTTTATCTCGATTAGATATTGAAATGCAAAATATTATGAATAGTAAGACGGAAGACAGAAAGAAATGGATGTTATATTTACAAACACTGCAAAGATACCTTCATTTTACCGAAGAGGATCGTCAACCACTCAGATTACCAATTTATTCTGATACATCTAATGAAGATTCAAATGAGTCTAAAATTGGTTTTAAAAATAAAGATAGAGATCTAAAAACTTCAGTTGATGCTGAATCTTTGTTGGAGGAGAATCGATCCATTAAAAGTAAAGAAAATGATGAAAATCCACTTTACACACCAGCTCAAATACTCGGTTTAATACCAAAAACTTACAATAAAAAGGACAGTTATTATTAAACTTAGTTGAAGCAAGTAAAAGTAAAATACATTGGGATAATGAAGGTACAGTCATAATTGGAGGGTATAGGGACAAAACAAGAAATGTCACAAAAACAAAAAGTTGTGTAATTAACATTTCTATATTTCAAAGTTAACAATTTCCTTAGGTATGGCTTAAACTTATACACTGCTAATAAAAAGTTAAGTTTACCTTTTAAAGTGTTAATTTAAGAAAGAAAAAATACTTTTATGAAAATAAAAAAAAATTGAAAATAATAAAAAATTAAAGTAGTTCACTTTTACAACATACAAAAACTGGTAATGTCCAGTGTGTCTAATACAAGGAATGTCCAACTACCTAAATGCATTGCTGATTATGCATGAGGAATGCTTTCAAAGTAGGATTGGGCCCCCTCAGGACAAAATCTTTTTCATTAAGTCCTTGTACTTTTCTGCACTAATGGGTAAGAAATTGATATAGGCAAAATCTGGCAATTCAAATTCATTGATGTGTCATTTGACCCGGGTTCCTTTTTTGCCACAATAGGTGATTTCTCCCATAAACCATTATAATTACTTCTGTGTAAAATAACTCTAGGGTGTTCTCGTACACACTTCAATTCTCTTTGGGACTGAATAGGAAATGAGCATTTTTTCATGTATAGATTTTTTTTTAAAAATTGTAAATTTTCTTATGTGTTCACCTATTCCTACCTGAATCACCTCAAAGGGTTTGGGTCTTTGGCGACTTACTCTCAGCAAATCATACCACTGTTATGGAACTTCAATGTGAGCTTTTAGATTGATTAGGCCAATATTTTTATCGCATTCTAAATACGAATGTTCTCTTATTGGATAAGTAATTTTGATAGAATCTAAAAGTTTCATTTTATGGACAACAAAATGAATAAACCTTATCACTGTGTAGTTCTTGTTCTGTCCACCTGCTGAATCACAAAATATTTCTAAATGCTTTACACGACTATCCAGGTGGTTTGTTAAATATTGAAACAGAAATGAAACCACTTCATCTGAACCCTTACATCCACAGGTTTCTGGATAGGTGTAAAAATAGGAGCTTGCATCACCCAATGCATGAATATTAAAAGAGTACATTGATAATTGACGTTTGTAATAGACATCGCTTGTGCTGATGTTTGGCAACGACACATTCTTCTGGTAGTCCATGGCAATTGCTTGAAATTCCACATCTGATTTGCTCTTGATTCTTGCATTTTTCTTACGATCATAAAATGTTTGAGCCTTTTTCTTGTGCAAATTGTTAAGAATAGTGAACCGAATCAGTTCTACAATATTTCCTTCAGCTCTCAATGCCTTCGCTTTTATTTTGAATTCATCACAAGCACTACAGGTATCAGTCCTGGGATAGCCAAATGATATATTAAACTCTGTATTAAAGATGGTTCTGCAAGTTTCATAACATACATGATTTTGTGACTCGTATGCATCTAAGTACAACTTATACATTTTCTTTATGTTTAGGTCCTCAGGTACATATTCTTTTTTTGTATCATTCAAGCTGTAGTGACTTTGCCGTCCTTTAAAGGATTTTATATGATTACATATCAAATCTTTAATGTTATTGTCTAATCTCTTGTTTGAACCTGACTTGCCTCTTTTGTCACTTGGTGCAGTACCTGACATTTTCAATGACTTTTGAAGATGTTCAAGTTTTCCTTTGATAATGCCAAATATAGATAAAAATGCTTTGTAGCAAACAGGTTCTTCTTTTGTCTCATCATTTTCTATCACCCTCACTTTGTAAGTGAAATGCGTTTGATGGAAATTAGCATCCATTTCTTCTGTTTTTCTACTTCGTCTCCTTTTTATTGAATACACATTCATCAAGCCACATAAGTATATATTTTGTTCATCTGTGTAGTTCATGCTGTTGAAGTCTTTAAGAAATTTCGCACTTTGCTCTGATGATATTCTATCAAAACATTTCAATCTTTTACACCTGCAATCATCTCCTGGCTCGTGCGTAGAAACTCTCAATTTTTTCATCACTTCACGCAATCTTCCTGTTTTCTTTCGTTTCTTTGTGTTATGCACAAAAGTGTTATTGATTTCTTCATCACTATTACTCATTTTTACAGCGGTAAATCGAAATAACAATATCTATTCAAATCACAAACAGCAACTCCGAAGAAACCACAGATCACTATATACTAGTCTACGAAGCGCCAGCATCATCAAGGAGTGGTGCTGGCGCTGGCGATATTGTCGGCTGATGCTTGGCCCACCTAAAGGTACCACACAAGCGTCATAACATGTGCATATCACTCAACTGTCATTCGATTCGATACCCTTCGAGAAACCTGACATGTTCACTTTAATAGGACCTTGCCTGTTGAATGTGATATGTTCCTAGGGCAAATAATATAACTTCATACACGCGACGCGCGGCTTAAAGCACGTTGCAGCGTTTGCTAAATAAAAATGTGTGGTGGAACCATACAAAAACTATTTATTACCCAATAATAGGGCATCTCTTAAAACGCACCCTACGTTTGTCTTATAAATCCCAAACATCATGTATAATATCACTGCATTTATTATTATAAAAATCGTCGAAATTTTGTAAGTTTTTTCTTAAAAATAACACAACAGACAGGTGCAGTGCCGGCTCTTTGTTTATTATTAAAGTATCCATTTATTAGCAAGTATAAATCCCAAACATCAATAAAATATAATGTCTACAGATAGTTACGCATTTATATTATTATAAATCAGAAGGAAATTGTCAATTAAAAGAGTTAAAGAAGGGTGCCAAAGCATTAAACTCAACTTTGCTCGGCGTTTATTTATAAATTACACATATAACATAATATATACCAGAAAAAAAGCACACATTAAAATCGAAATAGGTAAAATAAACAACAAACATTACAATTTTAGTTGATCATTATTCATCATCATTTCGACAATCCACTGCTGAACATAGGCCTCCTAAACTTAATATATAATGTAAAATATTACACTGGCCTTTCGTAAATTGCCATCCCATTTTGTCCCGTATGGTGTTATAAAAGTCGACAGAGTAAAATAAAAATACCAGAAGATGAGCAGCGGATTCTTCCTAAAGAATATCACAAAAAACTAAGGTTGCCACAAGTGTAGCAACTATGGCAAATATCATCAATAATATTACAATATTAATACGTATTAAGGTTAATAATCATCATTCATCATTTTCAATATCATCACTTGATATATCATATAAAAAAGATGCAGATGCATCAACCTCATCTCGATGCTGTGCCCATGATAGAAACCAAACTAAAATAGCGGCTTAATGCTGCTGTGTTTCGTATGGTGAGTATAGAGAACCGGAGACCCTTTTTACTGGAAACAAGGTATTCTATCTCAGTCCTCAGGGCTGGTAACGCATCTGTATTTTGATTTTCAATTGAAGATAAAAGTAGATGTCTATGGGCCACAGCATCCACTTACCATCAGGTGAACTGTGTGCTCGTTTGTCACCCTATTTCTACAAAAAAAGAGAAAATTACTTTTTATTAATTATCCTCTTACAACTACATCAGCATCAAGGAATGCTGCAGGTGCTGGTATTGTCGGCTGATGCCTGCCCCACCCAAGGTACCACACAAGCGTCATAATATGTGCACAGCACCCAACTGTTCTTCTACCAACTAAACAATTACAGCAATACTCTATAATACTTCCTTTTTAAACGATACTCTGTTACATTAAGGTTTTCTCTGCTTATTTCAATTCGACACACTCCGTGAAACCTGACATGTTCACTATAATAAGACCCTGCCTGTTGAATCTGATATATTCATGATTTGCTCGGCAATAATCCTTTTTTTAATCGAACACCGAATTTATTTAAAAGGCTTGCAGCTATGGAAAACATATGCATCATATGTGCAACAGTCTTATTAAAAAATCTTGCCGGATTATTTTAAGTCACGTTTGAATTAGCCGTTAACAACTTCCACCACCTGGCCGTGTAGTGGCGGTTGAGAATATCCACTACCCCATATCTTCCCGTGAGTGTCGTGAGACAGAGGGACACAGAAAGGAGATGGGCAGCAGCATCTTCCTAATAACAACAATAACGTAATAAAAAACTGCGGTTGCCAACTCGCTTGCCAAGCGTGGCAACTATGGCAAATATACCCCCATGAGCAACGAAGATCTCCAAATGCATGCGGCGAGACTTACGCAACTTTAATACTGCTCGTATTAAAGAAGCGATCGAACGGAACCAGGGCTCCAAAGTCTTTGCCAGAGATCTGTCTGCCAGAAAGAGCCAACTGTCAAAGCTGAAGATTGAGTGTGGCAGCATCGTTTCCGAGACACCTGAGATTTTGAGTGAGATTGAGAGGTTCTATGGGCAGCTGTACACATCATCGTTGGAGCCACACGCAAGTGTGAGTAACGATCCACGAGCAAGTCTTACCCGACACTATTCCGATGATATCTCGGACGTCAGTCTGAGCGAGATTAGAATGGCTCTCCAGCACCTTAAAAACGGCAGGGCCCCAGGCGAGGATGGAATTACTGCGGAGCTTCTGAAAGCGGGTGGAACACCGGTACTTGAAGTCCTTCAGAAGCTCTTCAATTCCGTCCTCCATGGTGGCACTACTCCGGAGGCATGGAGCAGAAGTGCGGTGGTCTTGTTCTTTAAGAAAGGCGACAACGCTCTCTTGAAGAACTACAGACCGATTTCCCTTCTGAGCCGCGTCTACGTGCTGTTTTCGAGAGTCATTACGAATCGTCTCGCACGCGGACTCGACGACTTCCAGCCTCCCGAACAAGCCGGTTTCCGAAAAGGCTTCAGTACCATAGACCACATACGTACCCTGCGGCAGATTGTACAGAAGACCGAAGAGTACAATCTGCCACTTTGCCTGGCGTATGTGGACTATGAGAAAGCCTTTGATTCCATCGAAATTTGGGCGGTGCTACAGTCCCTTCAGCGGTGCCAAGTTGACTGTCGGTATATCGAAGTGCTGAAGTGTTTGTACAGTAGGGATACGATGGCTATCCGAGTACAGAATCAGAGCTCGAAACCTATCCAACTGCAGAGAGGTGTAAGACAGGGTGACGTTATATCCCCGAAACTCTTCACCGCTGCATTGGAAGACGTTTTCAAGCTACTGGACTGGAAAGGATACGGTATTAACATCAATGGCGAGTACATCACTCACCTTCGATTTGCCGACGATATAGTCCTTATGGCAGAATCGCTGGAGGACCTAAGCACTATGCTCAATGACCTCAATGGTGTCTCCTAACGGATAGGTCTTAAGATGAACATAGACAAAACAAAGATCATGTTTAATTTCCATGTCTCACCTATGCCGGTAGGTGTTTTTGGGAGCACTATGTTCGAAGTTGTTGACCAGTACGTTTACCTGGGACAAATAGTCCGACTAGGTAAGTCCAACTTCGACCGAGAGGTCAATCGACGGATTCAACTCGGCTGGGCAGCGTTCGGGAAATTACGACACATCTTCTCGTCAGGTATACCTCAATCTGTGAAAACTAAAGTGTACAACCAGTGCGTGTCGCCAGTGATGACTTACGGATCAGAGACGTGGTCCTTCACTGCTGGCCGTATGAGGACGCTCAAGGTCACTCAGCGAGCTATGGAGAGGGCTATGCTCGGAGTTTCTCTGCGTGATAGACTCAGAAATGAGGATATCCGCAGTAAAACCAGAGTGACCGACATAGCCCAACGGATTAGTAAGCTGAAATGGCAATGGGCCGGCTATATAGCTCGAAGAACCGATAACCGATGGGGAAGAAAGGTTCTCGAGTGGCAGCCTCGTACCGGTAGACGTAGTGTAGGGCGACCCCCCACTAGATGGAGTGACGACCTGGTAAGACATGCAGGAAGTCGATGGATGCAGGTGGCTCAGGACCGTGCTTTGTGGTATTACTTGGGGGAGGCCTGTGTTCAGCAGTGGACTTGTGAAGGGCTGTAATGATGATGATGATGAACTTCCACCATCCATCGGCATATGGTCACACAAGGACTCCTGTTAGCTTGCTCAGTGGTGAGCTGATGCTCATCCTCAAGCAGGGATTCCGGCATATATGTTCTGTACAAGCTTCTAACAAACTAATTGAATCTCTAAATCCCCTGTCTGGAATAAAAACATCATTATTTTGAAAGTATTGTCTGAGAGGAGAGTTTTCATCTCTGAAAAGAGACTTCATTATATCTGCATCAGTTGTGGTAGCTTTGTATGGGTCAAAGCAGTCTACAATGTAGCCATCAGGTGTCACCAGCAAAAATCGTTTTAATAAGTTGTTGTATTCATGTAAGGAATATGTATCCTTTTGGAACATATAATTGGAACTTTTGTTTGTAAAAATATATGTCGCATCACATATCATTATCGCATTTTTATTATTTTGATTATAAATTGCATTTGGAGTCATTAAGTTGTGTTCCAAAAATTGCTCACGGAATATGTGTTCAATTCCCAAATTTCTAGGCACAAAATCTTGTACCAATATTTCCCTAAACTTTTCCATTAATCTTTCTAATGTTCACCTTGGTAACATTAATAACTGAGTTAACCGGTCATCTGATTCACCAGTTCGCATCTTCATTAGAAGAGCATCTAAACCTAAATTGCCTCTATTTGTTTCTATAAGACGCGGCGTTTCACATAATAAAAGTTCAAATTGTTGTTTATTCATTCCGAGCCAATAATGAAACAAATGCTCATCAATTCTTTTAACTGTTTCCATACTCGCGAAATCAAGAAATGTGTTGAAAGCATTTATAAAGAAAGAGCATGTTCCACTTGTTCAGCCGTAAATGTTCTTACACTATTTTGAGAATTGAACAACATATCCCAATCAGGACTAAATGTATGTTCTACACAAATACGGGCATTTATAGGCAAGTAATGTTTGTGTTTGCTAAGAGTTGTTGCTCTTAGAGGGTCAGAAATTCTATGCAAATCTGTGTTCTGGAAACCAGAAAAAGCACAATGTGCTGCAGTGTACGATAACGATATATACGATAACCGATACGACCTGGGGAACTTCAAGAAAAGAGCTTACTCCTTTCTAAAGGGCCGGCAACGCAACTGCAATTC